CGATTCGGATAAGTTGTCACGACATATCGGACAAACTTGTTCTGCAGCCAAACAACGTCGTATACAAAGCGAACAGTACGCGTGCCCACATTCGGCGATCATCGGGGTTTTGAAAAAATCCTTACATATCGGACAACGTGGCAGCGAGTCAAGGTGTTTTAACCCAACTTGGGGAAAATCGCTTGGGTCAGAAATGGATGAGAGCTCATAAGACGCTTCTTCAGACATTTGGATGTAGAAATGGGAGAAATCTGTTGTCTCGGAGAAATAACCAATCAGCGCACTTGAAAAATGAGATGGGTTGGCACACTTTATTAAAAGAAATATCGTTTTAAAAAAAAAAGATTGTTATAATAATTTTTATTTAATATAAATAAAAATAAAAATAATTTGTTTAAAGAAAAAATTTCTTTTATAAAAAAATTTTTTTTTTTTTTAGCTTTTCGAATAGTATTTAAATTAGCAAAAAAAAAAATTTTTTTTGATTCAAATCATAATTCTTTTTTTTTTTTTTTTTAAATCCATGCTATAATTATTACAATGATCAACATCAATTTCCCATTAATTGAAATGTTTCAAATAAAGAAAAGTCTAACTTTTTAAGTAAAAACAATGCAGATACAAATAAATAATGAATTAATTGACGAATGAAGAAATTATGAAATTATTCAACCGTATCGATTTTACATATTAGCGTCCGTATAGATAACATTAATGCACTTTCAGAGACGTATAATGAACTCCCACTAATTCCGACTTATCAGTATTATATGAATTTCTGATGTCTATTCCTGATGAAATGATTGTTTTGCAATAAAAATAGATGGCCGCATAGTAAGGGAGGAAATATGGATTATATACGCGATCTGTTTGAAAGGAGGAAATTTGTTAGTTTGAGCCAAGATTAATGTTTAGTAAATAACAAGCTTGATTTGTGATATACGTACAGAAGCTATTCCCGCTCTTGTATTCTTTTTGCGCAATGAGATCATCATTGTCGACGGTGTACCGTGTAAGATAATAAACGACCAGTAATGTAGTTATTAAAGAATAAACTGCTAGTGCGAACCTATGTAAGTTCAAACGAGTCCATGTTCTAAACCCCAGAAACTTGTTAGGAATGGTCAAGAGATCTATTCGGTTTTTTTCTCTGAAGAAGTAACAGACCAAAAAGAATGGAGAATTCCATAATGCCGTGAACATGCCAGGGTATCCATGACGATGGCACTCTGCGTATAGGAGCACACTTAAAATAGACGTCAGGAAAAAATATAATACGGCTCCACCGATCAAGCTCCATGTCAGAATGGACGTGGCACATATATCAACGTTTGGTTGTTGAAACTCTGATTGACAACCATTTAAAAAAAGAACGGATAAAGCTTTCTTCCCACCAATATTTTGTATTGCTAAAGACACAATATGATAACCGAAGAGGGCTACACTGCTGATAAACATCTTTATTCCCCGTCGAGGTGGAAGTTTGTTAAAATGTGAACATTTGAGATTCGTTAGATAAATTGTAAAGACCAACCTCCCAAAATGGAACAATGCGGTTGAGAATTTCCCACTGCGGTGTGACTCTTCCGATGTCTGAGGTCCTATATTGAAGCCCATTTGCATCAGTGCCCGAGTCAAGGGCTGTCTTGGAAAAGTTTTCTGTGCTGGATTGCTGATACCCGTAATAAGAAGATTGGGTTTCCGAAGGGTACATGGGCCTAGGTCCGTTTTCTGACTCGGAGTCGCCTATGGCATGTCCGCGTTGTTGTTGAACATATGAACCCATTATAGAATGTTATGAGGAGGAAGAATATTTGTTTCAGGAAGAAAAGGTGAAGAAGGGCTTTAAGTATGTACGTGGTTGGGTGAATGTGTCCTGTGACAGCGGTAACTACTATATTTAGTTAAGTCGATTTGTACAAAACCCGTCTATGTATCTACATAGATTTTATCCTTACACACTTCTTTTAGACTTGTAATTCATACAATGTCACCAAACGTTCCTTCACCGCCACCTCAAATCCGAATCGAACCTGAAGTCACTGCCACAAATACGCTTATACTTACTGAACTAAGTAGAGAAGTCTTTCTGCCTGAAAATCTTGCGGGATTACAAAAACAATTAGAGCAATATGGACCGACCCATAAATTTGTTCCAATTAAGTCTTTCTATCGAATTCTTGTTGTTTTCTTTCAGACCAGTGATGCCATAATCGCTAAAGCTCAAGTTGATAGGATAACCTTTTTGAACAATACCGTTCGAGCGTATTTTGGACCGGTAAGGTTA